CAATATCTTACCAATGCTAGGCTACTGGCCAGGATCATGATGATAATGAACTATAAATAAACAATGCCAATATCTTACCAATGCTAGGCTACTGGCCAGGATCATGATGATAATGAAGGTTTCAAAGTAGTTGTGCTCAACCATTGCAAACGCTTTGCATCGAATGTTCCACCACTTTTTTCCTGTATCAGAATTTTCAAAACGAATGCAACATCCACAATGCTTTCTGCATATTTGACACCAACAATCATCCGGGTAACTTGCAAAAACGACATCTACTTCATTGATCTCTGGATCCCCTTCCGCGTCGACCATGTTTAGGCGCTCCTTTGCATCGTCTGAGAGCGTAGAACAAGAACCTGAAGAACTACCATCCATATCTTTATGACTTTTCAAGGTTGCTCGACTAGCAGGTCTGGTAGAGGACTCCGATTGCTTGATAGGAAAAGGCGTAAAGATATAACAAGAGCCATGATGTCACTGTAAGTGTACGTGTATTACATGGTTAGTCAGGGGTTATATTTATATGCAATTGGACAAAATCTTGTCATTCCTAAAATAAAAGGAGGATTTCGAAGAATTTGCTATGTTCCCTTATTGGGCCCTGCCCCTCTGTCCCCAGGGGGTCAGACCAATCGTTGATACAAAATTAGGTCCCCTTCACCCAAGGGTGATTTAGACCAAACATGGACATAATCCTGTCATTCCTACAGAAGAAGAAGAATTTAAAAGCTATTTTTCCTCTTTGGCCCTGCCTCTCTGCCAAAAGGGGGGTCATACCCTACGTTAATACAAAAATGGTTCCCCTTCTATCAAGGGTGCTTCATCCCAAATTTGGACAAAATCCTTTCATTCCTACAGAAGAAGAAGGATTTTGAAGAATTTGCTATGTTTCCCTTATTGGGCCCGCCCATCAGGCTCCAGTGGGTCCTAACCCACCATTTATACGAAATTGATTTCCCTTTCAAATATGATGCTACTGTTCGAATTTGGTCCAAAAAAACATACCCAAGGTAGAAGAAGAAAACTAAAGCTGTTCCTCTAAATCCCTTTTTTGGCCCCGCCTCTCTGTCCCCAGGGGGATCAGACCCACCGTTTAAAGCATCCTTGAGTGAAGGAGAACAAATTTTGTATATACCAAATTTGGACGAAATCCAGTCATTCCTACAGAGGAAGAAGGATTTTGCTATTTCCCCTATTGGGCCCCGCTCCTCAGTTCCCAGTGCGGCCACACTCAACGTTTATACAAATTACTGTAGAAGAAAGATATTAAACGTTTTACCTCTATTTCCCCTATTTGGCCCCGCCCCCTTGTCCCAGGGGGTCCACACTAACCCTTTACACAAAATTGAGTCCCCTTGGCCCAATGATGTTCCAGACTAAATTAGGATAAAAATCATATAATCCCTACGGTAGAAGAAGGATTTTAAAGGTTTTACCTCTATTCCCCCAATTGGACCCGCCCCTCTGCCCCGAGGAGGGCCACACCCACCATTCATACAAAATCTTATCCCCTTCGCCCTTTGACACCTGACCGCGATATTTGACACTTTAACCACTACCTTTGACACTTTGACTGCGACTTTTGACATTTTAACCACGACCTTTGACACTTTGATAGCAACCTTTGACACTTTAACCACGACCTTTGACACCTTGACTGCGACTTTTGACATTTTAACCACGACATTTGACACTTTGACTGCAACCTTCGACACTTTGACCACGACCTTTGACACCTTGACTGCGACTTTTGACATTTTATCCGCGACCTTTGACACTTTGACTGCGACATTTGATACCTTGAACAAGACCTTTGACACTTTGACCGCAACCTTTGACACTTTCATCTGAACCGATGACAAACAAAATCTAATTATGTGAAGTATTCAGAATAGCCTTTCAATGGTGTAAATATAACACTTTATTTGTTGCGGAAGTTTTGATATATTACAAACAAGCTTTTCATTTTAGAAGTGGTCAAGCAAGATCTATACCCGTAACGTTAACATTTTGTCTTTGACCAATGACCACCAAAATCAAATTAGGTGTAGAGCTCAATACATTTGTATTACCATATTATGAGGTAAAAATAAACTGAATTTGATAAGGCGGTTGTCAGATATCTTATATACAACATCTTTTCTTTAAAAAGCGGTAAAGTGTGATATTTGACCGTGGTATGGACCTTAATATTACAATACTGTGGTGTAAATATGAAGTTTATTCGTTCAGGGTTTTATTGGATATCTTCTACACAAACTGTGTACTACTGACGGACAGAAGGAAGCACGGACACAGACAAAACGATTACTTAATATCCTCTTACTTGGGGGGGGGGGGGGGGGGGGGGGGGGGTATGTGTGTGTATAAACAGTTTGCTTACACTGCATATTGTGAATGTTATATGAATATAGGGAAAGGTAACGCTCAAACAAGCAGGAAGCAAACAACGCATGCTCTTTTTTTAATGATCACTTACTTTGTCCATGTCCGTTACGCTTATCGTAGCACTGTCCACTATAAAAGAAAATATATCATATTTATTGACATATGAAAATTATATGTGTTTTATATATATGTATTCACTGTTATCTTACTCGTTTCCTTTTTGTCCACATAATACTTCAAAGGTTTTATTCTGCCAATATAACAATAAATGACAACGCGAAAGAAAAAATATTGAACGGAGGCAAGAGTGTTCTGTTTAACGGTGTATTAACATTAAAATTAGGAATTATTGAACTTAGCAATCACTTAATTCAAACAACTTTCTGATTTTTCTTTTTCCGATTAACCGTTATTACTTCCCCTTTATGTGTTTTTCTTGTTAGAAATTTCAAATCTCAACAGGAAAACGTTTAGCATGCGACTTCATAATATAAATTCAATATTCCTGTTAAAATAACATTACTATTGTACTATATTAGTTTAATATATTGAAGAAAAGTACCAAAGCGTAAAGGAAGGCTCAATGTCGATACAGAATAGGTCAACGTTTTATAAGAATAAGGTGAAAAGTGGATATTGCAAACAATATAGCATTTCAGATTTTATAACAAAATAATATAAGTGAGTTAGAAATAACAGTATTTTGTGCAATTTAAATGCCATCAAGATAAAAATGTGCGTGGGAATATTTCTGAAAATAGTGCGATGTAAACTATCATAACAGACATGTCTGTGCATAAAAAGCGTTGAAAATGCAAAAGCGTAGAGAAAGAATAATGGATGGGAGGAGGAATAAAGGAAGCAGAATATTTTTTTATAGAAATCATCATGCTAGGGATAGACGAATACTAGTATAAAAGACGGAATACAAAACAAAAAGCAAAAACGTATTCAGGCAATGAAAATATATCTAAATTAAAATTGATTACGGAGAGAATGAGAGACAGACCGACAGAGACAGAGGACAAGGAATGTGAGATATACAGAGAAAGAAAGAAGGAGACAGAAATATGTACATTTGTATATGTATTGGATATATAAAAAATAGCAAATCAACAGAAACGGAGATAAAGTGATAGTGATAAATTGAAAATCATGTAGAAAATGAGATAGAGTTAAATAAAATTTGATTGACAGCTATAAAGTTTGCATAAACCAGAAATATAAAAGAAAAAGAAGACTGCGAGAGAATCATATCTACTTAAAAAAAAGCCAATAAAAACTAATACTAGAACAAGTATAGATGTTATAAAAAACGAGAAATTAAAGTTAAACTGAGAGACAGGTCTATTACTTAGGCTGCAAGAGAGTTATGTATACTACAAGAAACGATCTGATATCAGAGATAAGATATAGACTGCGAGAGAGTTATAGATATTCATATCAAAGAGATGAAATGTAGTGTGGGAGAAATGTTTAGACAAACAAAATGAAGAGTGCGAGAGTTTTAGATGCTTGAATAGATAGAGAGAGGAAGAAGTTAAAGAATCGATATATCTCTCTATATATTTAGAACAATGAAGGACAGAGAGAAATAACGAGAGCGAAAGATAGCCAGTTACATACAGAGAAATGTGTAGAGATAATCACGTAAATCACCAGAGACACAGAGATAGAGAGAAAGAGATTGCAAAAAAAAAAAACATTTTGAATGAGCAACCGTCGAGGTTAAAACATTTTGCTTGAGAGATTTTGAGGTATTTGAGTGGGTGAAAAAGGACCTGTAGGCTTGTTGGCGGTGGGAGTGGGCAGCTCGTGGCTCTTTTCCAGTTTACCGTTACGGGTAACAGCTGGTTGTCCGTCTGATAATGGTTCCTTTCCGTTGATTTCGATCCTTGACAGACTTGGAGACACAACCGGCAAGATAGGGGGCTTACTTTTACGCTGCATTTTCACCTTCACACATACAATAATGTTAACTTTCACCCATGAGCCGAAGCTGAAAAAAACAAGGACACACAGTTTAAGTCAACACCCCAAACCTATAAGATGTAACTACATTTGTTACAAAATGGAGCATCATTTCTTGTAAAATTTTAATTTTATAATCTGAAACATTCTTTTTCCGAACTTAAATATATGTAGAAAACTGAATGACGTTAAGTTGACAATGCCAATAACATTAACCTTTAAATTCCTAATAACACCCAATTACTGATTTCTAAATAAGACATAATAACACTATGATCATACCCACTAAATAGATAAAACAAATCCTCTTATTACTACTAACCATAAGCGCACAAGGTCCGTGTAATACTTAACATCAAAATTCTATTTTTAATATTCAGATGTATGAATGAAGCCAAATTTCATAAAGTAACAAAAAATCTAATATTGATTTGAATTCTTTAATTTTTTCTACTTTTTTTAGAATAATAAACTCTAGGTTTTGATATATTAGGTTTTCGATAAAAATAAGATAAAACGTCTTACTATGAACAATTAAATGATTGTGGAAAAGATTCGTTTCGACTAGACCTGTAGATAACCAAAAGGTCATGAGATTTTTAGTTTACCTTTATAACGCGAGAAGAAACTCTCACAGATTCAAGCATACCGTGAAAAATTGATCTGGTACGATACAAGCATGTATTCATGACCATCGCTAGGGTTATTCGTGAATTTGACCATCGCGAATATCTTATTACAACAAAAGCTGTAAATGCGAAAATTCAGTCAAATGTAATATATTCTTACATACATAATATTTTCATATTCATTTCCCTAATGTAATGCAGTAACCAAGTTAAGTTGATTGCTTTTCAGCAAGAATTGTTATATCGCAAACAATTGTTTTATCCAACCTACCGTTTGAACCTGCTGATTGCTTCCAGAAGTTTATTTGGTTCAGCCTCTTCGGTACCAGAATCCTGTAAACTGTCTGCTCCAAACGCGCTCAGCAAACAAGCGAGAAACAGGTTCAGTACCTAATGATTATACCAATATAGTCGAAATAAACCAGTCATATCTTGAGATAAATGTGTAAGAATACAACATATAACTTGAATGCATTTTCGGTCTAGACATCAGCAAAACAACATTTGAACGTTTTAAAAGTTGATTATCTTTTAAAGATCATCTTTTTAAGAATAGTCAAGGTATGTAATGTAGTTTGCAGTTTATTGAAACAAAACATTTATAACAAGTGCTTGAAAGTGTCATTTACATTGCATCGGTACATAAGATAACAGCATTCTACAGAAGCATAAAGAGTTTTGATAATTGTAATGAATGTTGATATTCCTTTAAGTTATTGTTTTCATTTCCAAAAACAACCACGACATCAATTGAGTTTTGGATATTTATAATCTACGAATATTAATGAGACTGGAATTAACATACCAAAATATGAAACTTTCAATGGTTAATTTATTCCATCATAAAGAAATATATACCGTTGCAGATATTCTGATTGACATTGTATATAATATGAAGGAAAATGTTAATCGTTTCTTTTATAATGCAAAATACATAGACCCAAATAAATATATCCACAATATCAGCAATTAGAATTACATGTTTGAAATCAAAGTCATGTTTATACCATGAAGTAATTAAAGGACAGGAATTGCTCATGTTATCAAATATTGAAGCATCTATTACACAAAACAATAACCGATTCAAGATGTCAACAAAATACCAATAACTAAATAAATCAAAATTCATATTAAGGAATATATATATATTAAATATTGGAGCATTTATTACGTGTAAAATAACCTATGTCAGCTCTAATTTTCCAACAACATTATTAAATATATTTTTTTTAATTTTTTTTTTTTACATGCAAAATGATGAAATAGCACTCACAACTAAATTCCCTAACACCATAGTCAGCAGGAAGAAGGGTATACATTGAAGTCCAGCGACACGTCGGCATCCCCACATTGATTCAATCCACTCCCCACACAGTACTCGGAATACAATCATGAATGAGTGCAAAAAATCCGAAAAATTCCATCTTGGGAATTCCTCGTCATGGTAGGTCCCATTTGGACCGTACGCGTCTTTGTATGAATCCGAGAACAACTGTTGACCCATCACAGCAAATATGAATACCACAATACCTAGCACAAAGGTAAGGTTTCCTAAGGTGCCTACTGTTCTGGCCACTATACTTATCAACATGTTCAGTGTAGGCCAGGACTTTGCCAGCTTAAACACACGTAACTGTCAAATAAATAAAAATAAAAATGTAAATAAAATGCAATCCAATGTTAACATGATAGACAACAAACAGATTCATCAATAAACAAGACATGATATATATTAAGAAATATGCATTCATACATATTTCTTAAACTTCTATATAAAATATCGAAGCATCTATTCAAATAAAACAACAACCGATTCAAGATGTCATTTAGACAACAAAAGTATCCATCAAAATACAAATTATACTTAATATTTAAGAATATTTGAGCATTTATTTCGTTTGAGATAACCGACTGAAGATGTAAAAATAGAAACAATTAGGGTGATTTGCGAATAATTTTAAAATTAAATTTACAAGGGGAAACATGAAGTTGTTATTGCACTTAACATTTACATTTGTTTATTCTACATTAGTTCGATAATCATTAAGAAAACTGCATTTCACAGTTTAGAATTCTTTTTAGACATACCAATCTGAAACTACGGAGCACGGAAAGTCCAGACACTCCATCCAACGCAAGTTCAAGGAAGCTAAGGAATACAATGACACCGTCAAAGCAGTTCCATCTATCCTTCAGATATACTATTGGGCCTAAAGCAATAACTTTGAGAAACGCCTCGGTTGCAAAGATAGCAGTGAACACCTGAAAAATACCAAGTGTAAGTAAAGTTATAATCCTTTATCTAACTAAACTCTTTACTAAGCTCATAAATGCCCTGCCGTCACATGAAGTTAATTTACTCAAATTTGCAAGTTAATCGCAAAGACTTGCTTCTTAAAGAGTCATGTTTCTTCTCCCATCTAGTTTGGTCCTCAATTCTGTTACAGTGACATCACGTTAACTTTCGTCTCAAAGATGTTTCAACATAAAAGGTAAACCACTTAAATATGTTTCTTATCATGTTGTTAAATAATAACAAGGTATGGATAATTTTTGTTCACGTATATGTTCAAATTCATTAAATAAATAGATGATTTAATGAAAGTAATTGTTAACAACTTACTTATAAGGCGATTAGATGGAAATTATTTTATGTAGCAGTTACCTCATGTCTTTAATCATAGGTTTATTACCTTATGATGTCATATCACCAATTTATATACATATATGCCATTCTTTCTAAGGATGTTTAACTATATTTGTGAAGGCTATACATATGGCACTTATTATCTAAAGAACTTGTAGAATGCTTGCTAATTTATGCAGGTCACAACGTAATGCATTTTGTTACAGTTGCCCTGATACTGAAAACGTTAACCTCAATTAAAAACAAAAAATGTCAAACGTTATTGTTTTTATCATAGTATAGAAATAATTGAAATATTGTTCAATAAAATCATACATAATTGCCATTTGCCAGAATATTTTCTAAATTCTTGGACATCCCGTAATGATCCATTCCCATGAACGCAGTGTTGACAACGATACAGATTGTGATGAAAAAGTCAACGAAGGCATCGAGGATGAACCAGGCCACGCTTTTCTGAAACATCAACCAACAAGGGCAACAAGTCCAGCTGCAGAATTTCAGGTACAATCTGTCCTTCAGAGGAATAACGGGTTCGCCCAAATCACTGCTCATAAAACCTGAAAGGAAAAAAAGTTACATAAAATGTACTTATTTTGACTGTCTTAATTTTCACGTCTTCTTGATTGATTTGATAGATATTTCGAGCGTATGATATGGGGATTTTGATTATTACTTTGTATGAGATAGCATAAGAAATTAGCTATATTGTTACATTGTTATCGTTTCCTACACAACGTTAATGCTTATGAATTGATAAATGACGTTAGTATTATTAATTTGACTGTCAGAAAAATAATATGCATGAACGAGTTGAATCAATTATACTGAAGTAGAATGGATAATTAGTCCGAAATATGGCCTTTACTCAGCCAGCAGTATTTCATACGCAAAACGCACCTGTACAGAGTTAGAGTATGATAAAACAATGGACCTTTACAGAGCTAGAGTGTGATAAAACAATAGACCTTTGCAGAGCTAGAGTGTGATAAAACAATGGACCTTTACAGAGCTGGAGTGTGATAAAACAATANCAGAGCTAGAGTGTGATAAAACAATGGACCTTTACAGAGCTAGAGTGTGATAAAACAATAGACCTTTACAGAGCTAGAATGTGATAAAACAATTGACCTTTACAGAGCTAGAGTGTGATAAAACAATAGACCTTTACAGAGCTAGAGTGTGATAAAACAATGGACCTTTACAGAGCTAGAGTGTGATAAAACAATAGACCTTTACAGAGCTAAAGTGTGATAAAACAATGGACCTTTACAGAGCTAGTGTGTGATAAAACAATGGATTTGAAATGTTATGTAGTAGTGTGAATCGCTTTTGCGGTAAACCGCATTGCTGTGTCAGTTTTACTTGTGAAGATGAAATCAACTTCAGAGTTTTATTTCGACTTGGTGTTCGAAGAAGACGAAGCAACACAAAGGGAGTTATTTCCCTTGTCAGCAATTCATCTCGTTTTTTGCTGTGTATTATTGATTCCTAGAGAGCAATGTCGATGGAGGATTGGAAGTGGGCAAGTTCCCATTCAACCCTTGTAGTTGACTTCTTATAAAAAAAAAAAATCCAAAAACTTGAATTTCTAACAACTATTTTTCTGTAAAAAGTATCAACTTTGCAGAAATGATTTAAACAACTATGTTATCAAAGATATAATGGCAAAAATATGTTTTATCCTAACGATTCTTTGTAAAACTCTGTGTATCTTAATCGACCTAAAAATCTCAATATGCAAGTATTTTTCCAAAAAGACAAACAATTCGCCAAACTTGAAATTGATGGTAAAGAAGTTTATATTCGGAAAAAAGAAATGCCAAACAAACATGTAAAGTCACATGTAATTTAAAATGCTGTTTTTTAATAACGTATTCGGGTTCGATATTTTGTGGAGGTAATGTTTAAAACTACAATTGGGCCAACGCCTACATAAGAGTAATAGAGTGACACGTACTTCCTCGATGACCGGAGGCAGTTTCCAAAAGTTCTCGGATGACGGTCACATCTACAAATAATATCACATGAAGTACATATAGTTTCAGCTAAAAAAAATACATGGTTAATGAAAAAAGGTATACAGATCACTCTGACTTTAACTTCAAGGTATGGCGCTTGCAAGCTTGAGTGTCGGTAATGAAATCTAGGAAATCAACAGTTTTAAACCTAATATTGGAACCATGCAATGTTAAACACATCCCTCTTAAACGTTCTTCATAAAATCCAATTCTAACAAAGTTTTCAACGCTTAACGCCTAATTAAACAGATTCAATCAACTAAGAAAAACTTATCTTTTTTGATCGGAGGACTATAATGAGTTTTAATTGCGTTATCTGAGAAATTATTTTTACCTTTTTTCGACAGCAAACCATCATACATTTATTTGTATTCTACCAAATGATGTACCTAACATTTACAATTTATAAACTTGAATTTGAATATGAAAATGCACTGTCTTTTTGAAATTTCACATTTGTTACCTTTCATGTCTACATCCGGGACACTTGGAGTCCGGCAATCGTTTGGATGACCTTTCTTTTCCCCCTCGCGGTCTGACATTGAACCCTTTAATACAAATGAAAACATTGAAATAACCTACTACATATCAGATTGCAATTAAAATGTCTATCGAAGGAAGGATTAAAATACAATAAAAGGTATATGTTATACACTCTTAAGCTAATGCTGTTTTTACATGTTGGTGTTAATATGTCATTCCTTATAAATCTAACAAAGGAAAAAAAAATATGAAAAATTGTACAATATTTGTTAATATTTCATTTAATAGTCATAGAGGTAGTTTAGATCATTTCAAATTATTAAACAAATTAAATATGTCAACATATTATTTACAATAAAGACATTTGGCGAACAAAAGCATTTTTCCCGAAAATATGTGGTTTACTTTAAATTTTCACGAACAGTCACATACTTTGAGGAAGAAGTATAAAATTTAAACTTTTCAATTGGAAAATAATGTAAATTTTGATATATAATTATAACCATAATCGATAACAGGAGTTCAGTAAACATGTCTGTAACATTCAATTCTTTGGAGAACACGTTTTATGACTGATTAGTTGACAACTGTGGTTTCCGAAACGGACGCCCCCTTATATGCACTTTTGATAAAAACTGTATGACGTCAGTCAGCAAAGACAAAGCATTTACAATAACTATTGACTGAAGACACGTAAAAGCATAATCAGGTTTGTGTATGAGTATGTGAGTGTCATTAGCCATTTTTGATACTTGAAACCCTATTCAAATAAACTTCAAGTACCACCTGATGGCAAGGTTTTGCCATTCTATATTTAGAACCGGAAGTTCGTGATTGTATTATTGTCTAGTGATATCAATTGCATATGTCAAATTTTTCAAACAAACGTCTATCCTAGAATTTGGTCTTTGTTGATAAATTAAATAATTAACAACCAGCCATAAAAATAAAAGACGAAAAACTGACTTTTAATAAAGCAAAATGTAAACATTATAATGCTTCATTTAACTAAAATAATCAACAGAAATCTTAACAAAAGCAGCACCTTTTTAAAACTATAGCTATTTGATGCAGAAAGAAAAACAAATAAAGATACACATTCACGCTACATTGTGATCTTCGTTCACTTAGGACTGATCAGTTGTACAAAATACCAAAGAATGATAACCCATGTTTGAAGTGTTCTGAAACATATTTCAAAATACAGCAAAAGAGAAATAGTATCCAGAAACAAGAACTTGAAAACTTAAAAACGAAATTTTGAAACAAGTTCATTTGATGATCATGCAATGAAAGGTTCGGGCATTTTTGAGAGAGAAAAAAAGTTCAAGCTTAAGTAACAACTGAACACATCTTGCGTTACAAAAGCACTGTCTAAGTTAGCGTTCAGTAGAGCTCAATATTAGATAACTCCACCAAAATTATTTACCAGAAAGAGACAATTTCAGGAAAATAAATTTCAGAACGATAAACCAATATCCTCTGTAAGAACATTTAAGGCCACAATAACGTCTCTCTAGAATTCCCCAACCTGACTATGCGTGATATCTTATAGTCACAGCCAAACAACACTATTCACTTAAAAATATTAAAAGGCTTACGGCACATCTCAATATACAAATAAGAGCATTTAAATGCAAATAATACCAACATCATATCTGAATGGATGAACCTGTTATCAGTGCTTCAGAATATACTGCCTTGATCTGCTGCTTCGACTATTGGACTGTTTGAATATGGTTCATCTTTTGAATTATGGACTTCTCGTTTAGCGTAATTTGAATAAAGACGACCCGTGTAGTGAAGTGTGTTTTTGAACGATTGATAGACCAACCATATATAGTTAAGTGATTGGTTCAATTTTGATAGTTTTTTGGTGACCACATCCGTAGAAAATCGTGTCTCGAAACTGGAATTCTCAAGAAACGTATTTGGTAACGGGAGGTGACTCCTGTCTACAAGGTTAAAATCCTTAAACCTTCAATACAATGCCGGGTTTGTTACCGATTGGAGCTAATTCCATATAGAAACTGACTTTAATCCCTAGTCGCACTTGAACTGACAAAGCTAAAGGACGTTGTCGGGTTTATTGTTAAACACTAGATTTATGGAAATTATTTCAACTCTCTAGCGTTTATCAATAATACAGATAAGAAATCAAAATAAACGAATTGATAAGGTACCCCGCCAAAATTTGTATAGGGAGCACCTGTTATTACTATCCCCAGTTAATACAGAACAGATTAATAAATGTATATGAAACTACACACGCCTTAAAAGACCATCTGTTCACTATTACCTGTAAATAAAGATATGTGTATAACTGTCATATGTTTATTAAAAGCCTCTCTGTGAAGCTCACATGAATAGGAAGACCACCTGCCTATAAAGACCACATGCATATAAAGCCCACCAACTGTCTATACCAATCTTCATAAGAATGCCATAGAGATAGCTTTACTGTATCGTAGGAAATTTTCGCGGAGGATTCTTTTACTATTATACCATAAATATAATGAGATGAACGAAAAGACTTGTTTACCATTGTTATGCTAAATATTGGAATTATGCGCTATTTCAATATGATATTTTACGTTATTTTGTTAAAAATCATTTGTAAAATAAATGTCATCAATAAAATACAAATTACCCTCGTGAGCGCAATATTTCCCTGGCTATGTCGCTCGAAACATATTCCCCGCGAACTAATTCTGATCTAGAAAACCGCGAAATTAAACATCCATACAGTATAACAACCCGTTGATAAAGTCAACATTTCTGCTTATTTTATGATATCTGTTAAATATATAGGTTAGCTTACATAGATTGCACATCTATAATACTTGTTTTTCTATAACACATTTTATTATTTTTTAGTACATGAATAGTGTCCCCTAAAATCTCCATAATAAGCCATGGCGCTTATTTTCAATTCTGGCAAGGAATCAAAGAAAGCCGGCTTTTTTCAAGAGAGTCTTATTTTCTAAGGCATTTAAACAGTAAGTCTTCATTGGCATATTTCAACAACTTTTGTATACGAACAAAATTATGCAATACTAAATCCTGTAATGTAATAGTTACATGTAAGACCGAGTTAAGCCGACCGGGAAAATATGGTTCTTACCTTTAATCTAACGCATATTTCAAGACCAACTTACTTGCAATGACAGTTTATTATCGTTATATATATTTTTGACTGCAAGGAATCTAAGGTTTATTTTCAATGCTGGCCTATTTTCAAATCAGACTTATAATGCATTTTAGGGTATTTAACCAAATTTATGCAAAGGAAAAAATTGGCCGTGACATTTCATTAGTTTGGTAACGATAGGTATGACTAGTTAGTACAATATTAGTAGGAATTACCTGGATGGCTGGTTGGGATATGGCACATTGACGATCGCGTTCACCATTTAGTACCGATGATTGTTCATCAAGTTCACACCTAGTATACAGAACCTGTTCAAAAGTCACTAAACTATATCTTATGTTTAACCTTAGTTTGGACGACCCAGACAAATGATATACGCTAGCTTGGTATAATCACCTACATGCATATACATGTCCATATGGAAAAATATATGTCTTTAGTGCTATTTAAACTAAACATAAAACCGATAAATATTGTTCAGTTTACATCTATATTTATATTAAAGATATTTATATACCTTTTTTCTATATAATAATAAAATTCGAATTTGTTTATATATATATATATAAATTATAATTATATCAATTTTGAAAATGAATTGAAACTCCATTCATGAAAAGTTATTCATTTTTATACAAGTTTATCCAAACATATAAAAAAAAAAAGGTTAGTACTTCGATGTCACCAAATCGAAGACATATAAGTTTATTAGTGAAAAGGCTATACATTATTTAAGCAAGCACTGTGTGCAAGATCATGGTCGATATTTCCACTGACCACCATGCCGTCCATCACCAAGCGTATCTTCAGGATGTCTAACAGGGCCGAGAATGTGTCATTCATAGAAATATAAACGTATTACCCGCACTCGTCTGGCAAAAGTAAAAGCACAATCAATTGTAACCGGCGATGTATCACCTATTTATCGATTTATTATCTATTTTTTTATTGAAGAGTTCAGATTGAAATTCGAACAGATTACAAACGTGTTAGTTCAAATGTTTATTTACAGCAATTGATTCTTACTTCTAATTCTCGAAGTCGAATACGAACTAAAGGTCCCGATCGGACGTGAAAATATATTGGGTCACCTGCTCGACGACATGGGTTTTCTCCGGGTACTTCGGTTTCCTCCCACATTAAGACCCCTGCGCGCTAACATCCGGGCCAGCAAGAGTGATGAATACAAGTTGAAATAACTTGTTCCATAATTGTTGTAAAATAAATAACGTTTATTTTAAAGAAATTACGACTTTAGTAGATATGGACCTGGTTTTTCCTACTCTGATAAGCTGAACTAAATTACGTTAAGTATATTTCAAAAGAAATATATATATTATTTTGTGTATTCATTTAATTTCATATTTATTTAATTGATTAAAATTCCAATCTAAAATGTCGTGTATGATAATTGAAACTTATCGACTTAAGAGAAGAAACATTTTTTTTGTAAACCTTCAAATAGTTCTCATCAATCGTATTTTGAATAAAAAAAAGCGTTAACGACACTTCAAGGCAATGAGGCCTTTGAACAACCGGGCCCTAGCCTGGTGTACGTTTAGTTCACAAATCAAATACAACATATGTTACATCAGAGTGACTGTGTTTCGTACGATTATATTATTTTTATATTCCGGAATATTTTTTTTACGTTATTTATAGGGTATAAGTTAAGGCTATTAACTCTAAGATGATGTGCAGAGGTCAAAGCCCGAGAATTTCTTTCAACAAAACCGCAAAAAACTCACTCGAAAAATGTAAGCGCTTTTAATTTTGGTAAGCATATTTAAACCAGATATGTATCACTGTGTGTAACAGTTACGCTGTTACTTCTCTGAATGTAATCCATGCAAAAGAGTGATAAATATGGCCCAACATTAACAAATACCACAAACAAGATTTAAATATTGTATATTTGGGTTGATTTCGTGGTTCTAAATACACTGTATATATTATACTATTCACGAGAATCACCGTCATATATCTGCCATTTTGATTGAAGTATCTCTAAATACTGAACTAATAATATCCAGCAAGGAATCAATCATGAATTTAAATGTCTCGCCAAATTAGATTTTAGATATTATTCGTTTTCTTACATTTCATTTGCGAACACCAATACATTATTGTAACAGTTATCGTTAACAAAGGACACGACATATCATTTCGCCTGTTTTGAATTTAACAAATGTTGAAGCCTCACAAATATCAACAAATATGACAAAAGCATAGTATAACTACAATCACAACAAAGACTGTTTGCAAAGCATGGTGTGGAATGCGATAATAGCATGCAAACCAAAGGAAACTATCCAAAACACTAAATATGAGTATATCCTTTACCAGATAATGTGCTATAATAGTGAAATGTAAGTTGTTCGTGTGTGTTAGTTACACTTACAAAGTGAAAGGTGGCTGTTTATTTAGTCTTATATGTTATCACTTATACGTAATAGTTATGTGACGTAAGCAAGATATATGTCGTGTATAAGATTAATACAATATACGTGTTGAAGATATAAATGTGTGTAGTTAAGGAAGAAGGTAGAACCACTACTGTTAAGTAAAGTTCAAAGTATCATATATTAGGAAGTTTTGAGAAAATATATTTCATAGAAAATACATTAATCTAGTTAAGAATCGTTCAAAACCAACCGCGATTACGAATTGAGAATTACGATGTCAAAAGTCCAATTTTGAATAATTCTTAAAAAAACCTTGACAAACACGTGAACAACCAAATATTCATTTGGAAAAATCATGGCATAAATCATGATGTAGAATTACAATGAAAACGTTTATGATTTGTTTGAACGATTTGACCTAGTATGCAATGTATATGCAGAGTAGATGCCACATCAGTAGTAGTAAAGCCCTTCACCAGGTAACTGGATACATCACGATTGTCACGTGACCAACACTTACGTCATCAGACTTAGATCTGTGTACATATACCTCGGGCAGAAGATGATGTTGGCCTTTGTGCTTGTTCATCGTAAGAGTAAGAGCATCGAATTTGCTTGGCGTCTTGATGGAATGTTGGGAACGCCGGCTGCCATGTGAGGCACGGCTTAGCAAAGAAGCGACGCTATTTCGCCGAGATGAAGGACGTCCATCGTTTTTGAGGCCAAGAGATGCCAAGCTGCTCCTCCCGTGTACGTTTGTTAAGTATCTTTTTAAAGTGTCTACATTATACAACTCATCTGAAGAGGGCGTAACTGCATTAGATTCATCAGCAAAGGGTAAGAATATTTCCAAATAAGGCGGCACAAGGGGCTGGCGATCAGCGTTTTGAGAACCATGCTTAGGTTTCTTCTTGCCCCGACTATTAAACGGGGAACCTGGTAGACTGAAGCTCGGCTGAAAAAGGGAGATAGGAAGCTTAGTATCCAAGGCAACGAAAAGTTAATGGTGCAGGGGTTGGGATGCCGGAGACAAGGCCACAGGTTCACAAACAAAACAATGCATGTCAACTCCAGTTTTCTTGTGATAATATCTGCCTTGAATCAAATGGCCGTTAAAATCAATCATCTGTCAATCACACTTATCGAAGTCTTATCCAGTAAGCATGCAGCTATATTTTAACTCTAAATCATCGTTGTCAACCTAACAGTTTCCTAGAAAAGCATTTACTGGTGTTCCTGGCAATAACGAGAATCAAAACACAGACGAATTTCACATACAATTAAATATATCTGCATAATATTAAACCAATTATAGTTTTTTCCAATGGTATTGTGTGTTGTTTAATTACGTTATATCATACGTTTCGTTTCCCTTCTTTATTTGATTTTAAATCTTAACTCATTAACTATTCTCTACAAAATATGAATGTGCATATTTTCAAGCAGGCAGATATTCAAGAGTATACCAGGCGTTTATCAGAAGTCGTTATTTTAAGTAAAATATGAAAAAGCGTGCCTAAATCTCATATATATTGATATATACCGAACAACAGAATATTGCTGGTTTCAAATAAATTGTATTTACAAAATTACTTATGCATATTTATATTAATATACATCTTAATGCAAATAAAAGATATTAAAAATGTATGTGAAGTCGAAACAAGAGGCACAAGGGTTCTGCATATCTCACCGGTTTTTTCGTTTATATCCTAATCATTACCATATTTACGACGAGGAAACTACAAAATGACTGTCACAGATATGTTCACCTCTTTATTCTGTGCATGCATAATTTTGAAACCATTTTTTATTTACGTTTAAGGATCCCTGTCCCACTACAGGCAAAACACGAGATATTTCCACTGTTTTTTCATACTAACAGTTACTTCCCCTTAATTTCACTTTGTATTTGACTGTAGTCGGGCTGGGCAATGGAACTGCCACTGCTCAGGTGGGATAGTTGGTTATAGCTCTCGTATTGTGAACGGAGATCCAGACACTGCTGTTGATAACTTTTTAGTTTTTTCAATTCTATGATTGATTCGAAAAGTTCCACGAGGTATAGGTTTCTTTTCTGAGATAATTTATTATAACTATTGTCATGCTAGTAAACAAGTCCTAATATCATTGTTGCCATTTTTGATAATAGTATTGGGATCCTTAAATCAGCGTGTACGCTTATTATAAATAAGTTATTAAAAAATAAGTTCTTGTGATGTTTTAATTATCTAAAGATGGTGAATGCTTAAGCACAAATCGATGGCATACCAAACATAAGTTATGCAGAGTATATTTGTATATCATTCAAAGAACGTTTTGAAGTACATCTCAATATTAAAACTGAAAATGTCTGCCTTAAATGCACTACGTGAGGACAGTTCACAGAGAAAACGATCTTATCTGCAGTAGTACAATTTGAAGTTGACTATGCAGGGAAACAGACCAAGAACGACGACTTTCCCTCATAGTGTTGTCAATTTGTAACGTAGATCCGATGCCACCTGGCTGCTAAGATGGTTGAGAACATTTTTCTGCCCATTTCTTATTTCATACTTTCGCGTATCATACGTTTACAAAACCCGTATTCTTTACCTGAGCAGATATATCTGAAATGTCAGCATGAATTTTGAAACAATAGTAAACTATTTTATCTGTTTGAATCAATATCCACCTTTTTATGTTGTAAAATATGGGGGAAAGGTTTTATTATTATTAAAAATTGATAAAATAGAATAATCTTTCGACCCCTGTTAATTGAGTCAAACACCCATTATAAAATACATCAATAAATATGAGAAGCATTGATATTAGTCTCTTTCCAAGTTGATTTCTTGATTATTCCAAAAATGTGATTTCTTTAAAATTTACCTTTAAAAATGAACTGCGATATTTTAGTAGTTGACGTATGCCAAACATTCTACAAAACCATTAGGAGACACGATTGCGCCAACTCAATGCTGGTTGAAGCAAGCACATGCATGCCATTTGCAGTTGGCTGCAACGTTGCAGGATTCGGTAAGGGGCGAGTAATGTTGTAATCATTATTTGGAAAAATAAATCATGCAAAATCGTAAGAAGCTGAAACGAGGCATTTGAACATTTCTGTTGAAAATTACACGTTCGTCGTCAAAACCTACACTGCAGTCATTTGGATAACACTCAATATATTTAATTGCGTCCAATGATGAAAGCGTAAGCGAGCAAGTCTCGATAGAGACGCACATGAAGCCCAAAGTTTAGAATGTACGTAGACAATGTGTGGACCTACTTTCACTATAGGATGGTGTGCGAGCTCTTCTGATTGTTTTTCCGACTGAATACTCCCGCTGTCCTTGTCCTCTTTTCCGTTGTACGGTGGTAAAGTAATATTGGAACCAGTTGGACTTCCTGTCATCCCCTGCGGTACAACTACTGTTATTGTACCACCCATGTGTGCTTCCGGTGACATCCCTGCTTTTTCCATTGCCTTCAGAATAGTGCAAACATACCGAGAATATTACATCTGTTTAACTATCTTAATCTGCCCTATTACAGAAAGTTTGACATTCAGCAAATTCTAAACATTATATTAGTCTGTCTTTTAATGAATAATAATAGCTGCATATTATTCAAAGAAAAGAAAAGATAAGAAGTACATTATCGTAATCAAAGGCGAAATATCAACACTGAAGGGAAGGTTACACGTCGAAAACAATATATCCGCCTATTTGGAAAATATATTTCTAGTATACGACGACTTCCTTGTACAGTATTAAACGTGTTAATATTCTCAAGACCGATCGCTCCCTTTGTCAATTACACAATGAACGTAATAAACGTGTCGCATTGTTTCAAGACCGACTGGTTCCTTTCTTTTCACAGTTTGCATAGGGACCAGTCGGCCTTAGCTTGACAATGCATTCAGTCAGTCTTAAAACGCTGTGACATGTTTGTTTCATTCATTGTCTGTGTATGGAGCAAATCTTTGATATGTAACATAACCTGTTTTCAATGCTACTAAGCAATAGGTTCGATGTCAAAGGGAATGTTATGATACTGAATTTTAAATAAACAACAAGTAAGAAACGAAAATAAATAAACTTATCTAAATGACAATTTTGCTTTAGCATATGGCAACCTTGTTTCATTGTGTGACTGCCGTGATATATTTAATATAACTATACCATTTTTGCGTATCACGTAATGTAATATTTCTCAAATGTGACGTCAAAAGTAAGACAATAGAACGTTATGACATTCTGATTACGTAACCATGAAGACATCACATATGACGTCACGAAGACTTGCTTTTATAAAAAAAAAAATGCCAGTTTTCGCAATACTTCTTGATAAGATGACAAACATTATTTTGTCTTCGTTTCTACGTTATCTAAGATTTATTAATTTTATTTCAAAGTATTGATTTTAGCTCAGCAGAGCCTCGCTTAAAACCATTAAAATGAATCTATAATATTTCTATCATACAATATTACAAGTCAATACCATAATGTCTTAATAGAAGCTCATTTTAATTCAATGTTTCTCTTTAATTTTCCTAATGCAGATGATGAGCTATGAAATACATAATGTACTTAATTGTTTTGTAAACTTTATTGATCCTTACTTCATTTTCCTCGTCAGCTTTATCCTGCTTCTGTTGTTCATCGTACGACATGGCTACGATAGCGAGGATGAGATTGACCAGATAGAACGAGCCCAACAATATGACAATCATGAAGTAAAGACAGTTCCAAGGACCGTTTGCACGCAAAACCTATAAAAAGAAGCAAACACTTTTAATGAATTATGTTCGCGTTAATTCACATACAAATACATCAAGTTTTTTAAATTTATTGTGAATCTGTCATCCAGAACATTTAAACAAGATATATAATGAAGCTACTTTTATTTCATTTGCAAATTAAAATCCTTGCAAATTACTTGTTTGAAACAAAAATGCGCGAATAAAGTCTCTACAAATATGACGTGATTTACTGCAATCAAACGAGGAATTTAGAACGTAATGCGAAATCATTCTTTAGCGCAATATTTCAAACGCAATATTTCAAGCACAAAAAAAAAAGCGCTAAAATACGATGACCGCTAAAAATATGTTCATTTACAGTTTCGATTGATTATATATTTTTTTTAACGTCCTATCTACAGCTAACTCTTTTAAGGACATGTCTTCATGTGTGTAATGCATGCGTGCTTGTGTATGTATGCTGGATGTAGGGTATGTTGGTGTATTTGCCTCCTTGCGATAGCGCGGATTTAATACCGACTTTAGAGTACTACCTGATCGAAGTACCATGACGAAGGTACCCAGCATCGTATTCTACCCGGTCACATGATATTGACAAAGGGTAGTCCAGTTGTTGCAATAACCCTAATTTCTGAACGTTAAGCAGGTGATAATAACAGAACCCATGGTAAAAGTGAGGTATAACTAAGCAAGGCATTAGGCAACAAAAAGGTATGTAGGTACAAGAAAATTAAGATCACAAATGTTGCAAGGGGGGCAGCAGGTCAACTGTTGTTTCTTTGATTTCTCATAAGCCGAAGACACTGGCGTATACACCCCGATTATACGATGGGCCCAACGTTTGGCGCCTTTTCCAACATGTAATCGGATACAGGAGGCCTCTGCTTTCCTTATACATGTGTTTACAGTATCAATGCACGATAGATTCCACCTGTGTATGACAAATTGTCCTGACTTACCTAGCTTAACCGACTTACCAGCATGTACAGGTTTTCCCAGTAATCTTGCGTCATCAGACGGAAGGCACAGAGAAGAGCCACCCCAAAGTGATCAAAACTAGTGTAATTGTAGTTGGGGTTGGAATGTAATTGTGGAATGCAGGTGTGGTTCTCTGGACAATCTCTAAAACCAACAATACAGCATTTAGTTACAAATTCATCTAAATTTGCCCTGGCAGGCTTCCGTTATACTGTTGTGTCTCGCTTGTCAAATTGTTCATCAACAAGCCAGGTACGTATGAAACGTGTTGCAACGTTTCAGGGGACTTTGTTAAAGCTTGACATAGGGACAAGTTGGTCATGAATCGTTACAACAAGTTTAATACGAACCCTGTTTGTGTTTAATATAAACATTTGATATTACGGGATAGCCTAAGTTCGAACGTACTGTCACATGTGCCTACATGATTAAACCTAAAAATACTGCAATAGGAATTGATCTGCTTCAATCAAACGATGCTTCTAACCGAGAGTAGGTAAGGAAAGCAATGCATGTTATTTCTCAGTACTCCACATTTTCTTTAACATTAAAACTGTTTACATTTGTGTATAATTTAACAAATAAGCAATAAAGTCGTAATACGTGTACTTATAGCATTATACAGTGAAATATGTTGTGGTGTGAATAATTTGACCGACACATTTAAAGGACACACTGAACCTCTGCGTGTTATATGAGTATCTGACAGAAATGTTTAACTGACACATTGAAAATTGAACGGATGTTCTGAATATTAAACCAATATATTGATTTTATTTTTTTGACCGATGCATTGAAATTAGTAAAATACATTTAATGCAATAATTAAATAGAGGTTCTTAAACGAGTGATGTTGGTTGTCAATTTTAACTCAATTAACTCAATTAACTCAGGTTAATTAATTTCCAAATTGATCAAAACACGATGTATACCGAGTGTCTTTTACGATTTGAAAATTAGTTAATGAGAGTAAGATAAACATGATAAGCAAATATTATGAGTTTGGGGTCCTTTTTCTCCCGTAACGTTCATATCATATCTAGAAATCCATGTTTCCCTTGGGAATGCATTATTTCTGTTTCCAATCGTTGAACCTGTTGCCATGACATATGCCGTCATAATCGAAAATGATGGCGCAAAGCATTGTTACGTGATGTTATAATTCTATGAAAAAACAATGAAATACGTCCACGGCGTTACCCGCCAGCAGGTTTATCCAATGTGTCGGGAGCTAGGAAATTGGTAGAAGTTGTGGAAGGAAATCACTAATACTTTCAAAATTATCGAACTTAAAAAATACATTCGATGGGATTTTAACAGGATCACAATATGATAAAAACAACACTGAACATAACCAAAAGCTTAGGAGTAATTATTTTATAAAACATATTGCCTTATTTGGTTATTATGCTAATGATATGCTATGGGGAGGACACTTACCCTGCTCCCGTCGAGTTCCCACATAGAAATGGCTCGACAAACTTATCCGGAGGGTACCAGTTCTCTATAAAACGAGATAGTGCATAAATGTATAACATATCTAGAGAAGTAGATTTTAGTAAATATATCATATGTCGTTTGTTTTATGATAAATAAGAAAGATACATGTTAACATTTTTTGTGTAAATTAATTCAGTTATTTTATCTTTATCTATTTTCCATAGTAAAAAAATCCCACAACGATTGTAAGGTACAATATTAAATTAACACATTTGTTTAGAAAGCTTCAATTCCAGAAAATTTAAACCAAGAATCAAGTCTCATGAACGGTCTGTGACTTAAAACCAATATTCAGATATTGATAAATAAATAATTATCGTAGAAACTATTTTAATATATCCTATATTTTCAGTACATAGTTGCGTTGTGTCGTACCTCTAACGAAGAAGAGTTCTAATTTATTTGGCATTTTTCTGACTTTGAGTTAATTTCCCAATTACTTTTTATATAGCAGGGAGCTTAACCACTACAATACCGGTCATGCTATTTGGTATAGTATTACCTTTGTACAGCATTGGAATTTGATCAATCTCATCCATATACCTAAAAAGTCCTGCAATCTTTACTTGTCATTAAACGCATAAGCAGACAACATGAATTTAACAGGAGAATAACTTAAGAGGGCATGTATACAGGAGCATAACTTAAGAGGGCATGTGTACAAGACAAAAGAGTAAGGACTCTCTACATTAAGCCTAAGTGTTTTATTTCCATGGCCAAAAATCAAAGTTATACTGAAGTGTCAAGTTAACAAAACCGTGATTCGACCTCAAAATCGATGAAACTAGGGCAAAGTATGAAAGATTTATATTTTTGACACTATACATACCTCTGTCCCAAACGTAGTTAAAGTATTCATCGTCAGTCATGTTGTCATTGTCCGCATTTAAAACACACTTGCTGCGCAGTGCGCCCATGTACATCTGCATCCCGATCAAGGCAAAGATGGAGAGCATGAACACGGTCAGAATCATGACGTCACGCAGCCGTCGAACGGCTTCGAGTAAGGCACCCACAATGGTTTTTAACCCTATGAAAGAATCAGAAATGACGTCACTTCCGTTTTTGTTATATTATATAAAGCACATGCAGCTTAAAAGAACACTTCAAATAAAAATACCGTTTTCAAAAAAGGTTTATCTGGCATATATTTATTTAAAATATCCTTGGTATCATTATAACTTAAGACAGGGTTATGAATATTATTTTGTAAAGGCTAACCTGATATGAAAGTGTTTTAACAAGTTTCAAATAAGTTAGTCTGGTATTACCATTGCCGTTTTAAAACAATACAGTTATGTACACGTCAGATCTTACCCGGTATTACAGCTACAGTTTTTAGGGCTCGTAATACCCTGAAGGTTCTAAGTGCTGAGAGATTTCCTAATTTGACGAACATTGTAATGTATCTGTAAAAGAAAAGAAGGAATTGAATACTGGTTCATTAAAACATAGAGCAACAATCTGTAAATAAGTATCCACGCCCTTAACAATAAATCACCATAAATATAAGCAGCACTTAAATGATCTCTAATTGTCTCATTATCAATGTTTGTATGCGACAAGATATTTGTAACACCCTGGTCCCAGTTGCTTAAAAATGGTCAGCTTTAACCAGTGGCTAGGAAAAAAGTCAAACTGTAGCAAAAAAGAAGCAATAGCTTTCAAAGTAAACTCAATCAATCTGATCTGTCTCAACAAATGTTTAGAAGTGAAAAGATATCAGATGTTCTTGATTTTCATATTTCAAGTTTTCCCTAACTACTGGTTAACTCTTACATCTGAGCGACCTAGACCTGATCTACCGCCCCACGTATTACATTCCAAAAATCTGAGCGACCTAGACCGGATATACCGGGCCCACGTATTACATTAAAAATCAACATATTCGTAATTAGTGAAAAATAAGTAAATACTGTCAGAAAATAGATTCTCAAACTAACCTGTATTGTTCTTAATCTGATAAGTTTAGGTTATGGAGGGGAAGTATGAAAGTAACATTCATATTAAATTACAGACATATCAGCTCAACTGTAATATCTCAACCTGTCATATTCATACGCAACAACAGGTTTGTTATGATGAAATGATACTCACGCCAAACTAATTACTGAAAAATCTAACCAGTTCCAAGGGTCTCTGAGATATGTGAAATCTTTTAGAATGTACCCACGGGACAGGATCTTGACGCTCGCTTCAACGGTGTAAATAACTGTAAATATTGTCCTGATGAAAAAAACACGACATTATTGGTCATTCATATCATTTGTATGTAGTATATTTTAATCAATAATCATCTATCTTTCTTTAAAAGGTATGTCCAGAAAATGGCATTAAAAGACAATCATTTGATAAAAAAAGAAAAGAAAATATTATAGACTACATCGAAGCACATATTATTGAAAGGAATATGCATCTGAATAAATGTATGATTTAACAACTAATTTTTTGTAGGATGTCATCAACATTAAAAACAGAAATATTTGTTACTGTCAATATGATTCGCATTCTAAATAACAAATGAATTTATGATTATATTACTTTACGGATAATATGTGGTTGCCTGTCTCTGTATACTCACTCCATGGTGGGGAAACTTCCAGACATAGCCATAAACACGCAGTTAACGATGATGGTGAGGATAACACAGAGACTGAACACAGTGAAACACATTAAGGAAAGATACATTTCAGACGTCAATCAAATCAACGAATGTTACCATACTCACCAATGGAAGATGGACGTAGAACGAACAAATGTATTTGCACCTATCAAATTGGTATGCCAAAATTGAATTGGCAATATCCAAAAAAATGAAATGGACAATTTCAAAAAGCCTACTAGTTCGTTGACTCCCTTGTATTAATGGATCCCTTCTTATAGATGCTTATTTATAAAAAAAAAAATATATATACTAATGTCTCAGGCGAGAAAAAAAGGTTTTTTTTATCATTCATTAAAACTTATTTGATACTATCGAAGTCATTAATGACAAGCGTTTTATACTTCATAAATCATGCTGATATTAATTCAATTCAAAGTACCTTGAAACTGAAAATCGAATGAAGAAAATAGAATAGTATTTTGAATATTTCATGAATCTGATGAGTTGCTCTTTTTAAGTTTTCAACTGGTGCTTTAGTTAGTGTAACAAAATGTGAGTGTCCTTTTAGAATAGGTCTAGCCATCACTCTCTTCCATCAAATGTCACACCTATCCAGGCTAGAATGCAATGGCAATACAATGTCACAGACCACATGGATCTCCGTCTACGCCAAAAACAGGGTCGCGTAGGTTTACACTCCATATCAATAATCTATAGCTAGCTGTGGAAACTGTTTCCAGAACGCTAAAGATATATAAGAATTGCATATAGACTATTTGGAGGAGAAACTCGTTACTTTGTAGGATATCGTTCGTTCTTTATTCTAGCATTTTAAGCTAACTAATCTTTATAGAAACACTTAGATAGAGATAAAAATGATACAGAAAGGCATTATTTATCAAAGTCTAGTTAGCTTAAAATAACAAAAAATATATATATGTGGTTTTTGAAATTACTAAATTTAGATCTATAAGAAATGACAAGACAAAAATCTTGAAAATAAAATATGAATCTTTTGATATATTAGAAAAGTTTTATATAACTTATATAATCATTTTTATAAGTTGACAAATAGTTACACAATTAGACCAAGAGTGCTATCTTTTATACGATCTAAAAGTATGGTGTTATCTTACATTAAGACTAAACTCCAGAATGTGATGAGTTATTTTCTATTGACATTGATGTTAATTTTCCATATTGACGATACAATAATAATGATGATAGCAAATGGCCGTGTTATCATCCCGCTTAATATTTTAGTTGTTCGTCAACAATGGCAACTGAAGCGAGACATTTCATTCATTTCGACGCATTTGATGTCTTCATATTTGAGTTCACTTATATCACAGGCAGATACAGAAAATGTGTGTCTTTAAGTGTGGGTGGTAATAACACAAGATGATTTTTACAGGAATTCTTGCTTATTTTGCTGTCATTTTAAATAACGTAGATGTTATAAAAGGCTTGGTTTGGTTTGGTTGTTATATATGCTATTAATAGCTACGGTCCTTTAAGGACGTGCCAGGTTTTGAAGGTGGAGGAAAGCCGGAGTACCCGGCAAAAAAATACTGACCTGGGGCCAGTAGCCGACTTCGTAGATCTTTTTATACAAATTGATAAGGTAAGAAAATTTCATCCTTTTTTTATCTTACAGTTAAAAAAACCGAGCCGTTCAGTTTCGCAGAATTAAGTATCACATTTTTGGCATTGGAGCAAAATTTTCAGGATTTTTCATTTTTCACAAGACCGTCAATATACATCTATCTAAACTTACTCCGCATTCAAAAAGAACAGATCCCACTTAGTTCATATTTCGCGATTTATAATTAGCTTTTATTATATATATACATCAGTTGTGTATAATAATGGTTTTAAATGAAAAAATGCAGATGTAAAAAGCTTAAACTGATCATATATATAAGCGTATCGAGGATTTTCAAAAAGGTGTGGGGCATTATTAAACGTTTTTGAAACTTATCATTTCTTATTAAGTCCTTGTATGGGTTGATCATTGGTATATCATGAAGTATTGGAAAGGATATGGATGCGTTAGGATACATATGGAAATTCTCCGGAGAGGGTTGAATGGGGTTAGAATGTAGAGGGCCTTAGTGGCGCTGAATCGGAAGATCGTCCAATCCCTTGCCACCACGGCGAAACTCTGAAATCAAAAAAGAGATATGTCAATAAATAGAACAACATTATAACTTCTACATAATTCGTATTTCTGGCATCAACAACAAGCATGTACAGTGAATTTCGCTGTTTTCAAAATTTAAAAAAAAAATCGTGGGTACATGAATTCGTAGGTTTCTAGTGCACACGAAAGTTGAAGGGAATACCACAGATACAGAAAATATCTCCATGTCGAACATGTTATTACTTCAAAAACAAAGGAATTCGTGGAGGAGGTGTACCCACGGGATGAGGAGTACCCACGGGATGAGGTGTACCCACGGAATCATTGAAATAAAACACAACACAGAAGTAACTGATTTCACAGTAATGTACGATATAATTCTAAAGTTTCCCCTATTTGCATAAATGCGACATATTTTTCTAAATTCCATAGCCATTAGTCCCAGTTCTAAAAATAGTGAAAATGACCTGCATATTAAACCGTAGTCATTCGGATAAATTGTCTGTCTGACCTACTGGTTAAGATGTCACAATATACACAGGTATTCAGAAACGTGTGGTGAATATATTACGCTGTGACTACAGGTGGCACATTCTTAATTGCCGCAAGCGTTACACAACGGTATCATGTTTAACCATTATGTATCCGAGAGCGTCTAGAATTTTCGTTTTTCAAATATTGTTTTTTTTTCCTCCTTAGTAACGTAAATGGTCCGTACAATAAAATGTAACTGAATACATGTCAAAGAAATCTCGGGTTGTGTTTTCTTTGCTGCGACAGACAAGTGATTTATTTAATCTTAGGGTATCAAATGCTGAGATGTTGAATGACTTGGGCGTCAAAGAACTGGGTTTGTTGTTTAGAATGTATACCGCAGCTGAGCCAGGGACTGATAGTGATATTGGGAGTATTGTCTATCCGTCGTAGTCTGGTATAAATAGATATTTCCTATAAATTTGTAACTTTGTATACACGATCCTTTATTCACAAGGTCAGTGTAATGTCTATAAATCTAGATTAGCACAAGCAAAGCACGCTTTGTGCGACCTCGTTTGGCGTGAGATATAATTCCAACTTCTATATTTATACAACTAGCACGTTTGCCCCAAAGAAAATGTCTTCCGGAAAATATAAAAAATATTTATGAACAAAGACAGTGTGAATGCTGTAACAGCAATAAGATATGTTGCGTTCGTTGTAAACCATAATATTACCGTCATGTTTTATGATCGCGCAACTAGGAAAAGGTTTGAATAATCTACTATTAATCTTTATTAACTACTTTCAACACTTTAATGTCATTTCCATGAGATTTCTCAACTATTATAATAAATTGTAAATACTAAACCATTCTATCTAAAATAGCTTCTTTCATGGTTTGAAAAAGGAGGTTTTTACTATTGATATTTTTTCTCGTGGAATAATATAACATTATTGTCGAAAACAACCAATGTTGATTGATTTTAGTGACTACGGTAGGGAATCAACTAAATGTTCAGCTTATCACTTGATTGTTTAATTTGATAGATGCTCTAAGTAATTGCTTGACTCCGTGATAAACATATATCATGATTGCTTGTCATTTATTTATTGTAATCCATACAATACTACATACTACATTAGATACGCTGGCGGATTTGTGACATTTGGCTGTTTTGTCCTTTGCCCATAAAACACGAGAAATAACAAATTTGTTTTTCGATTTTGCATCTCCGAAAAAAGACGAGAATTAACAAACCCAAATGCTCATTCCCCCGCGAAATGACGAAAATCAACAAACTATAATTTCTGAAACCATATAAAACAGGGACGTAACCAGGCGTACGCACGGACGCACGGGCTTCCACGTAATTTTTTCAAGTGTACTTTTAACAAGGATCACATTGTAGAACTTTATGTGATAAACTTTAACAACTCATATAAGCCTGGGCCCTCAGTGAATTCATTATCTCATTGATATTGTTTCTTTTATTGACTATCTAACGAAAATGTTCCTTGTTCATATGGAACTAATTATTACGCCGTTGAAAAAAAATACTACAAGCCAAATATGAAAATGATAGATATTTTATGTCTCAAACTGCACCAGAATGGGTTCCAGATTCAAAAAAATACTCGGGGGGGGTAACCCCCCCCCCCCCCCCGGAACCCCCCAAACTCAGGAGGGGGTAACCCCCTCCCGAACCCACCCCTACTCCGCGCTTTGCGCTTCGTATGCTTCCACATACTCATAGTCCTGGTTACGTCCCTGTAAAAGATTACGTGTCACAATATCATAATTCAGACCTTTCATGAGAAACTGCAGATACAGAGTTGTCATAACATGTTAGCTTGCCACAATACATATTCCCTACGATTTCAACCCTTTAAGTTTACGTTCTAGTTCATAAGCTCAATGACAGCTCAAAACCTACTATCATAACATTGCAAGATGGAGTTGTATAGAAGCATTGAACTTTTCAATCAATCGTCAAATATGAGTCAAACCAAACCCTACGAAGCAGAGAATATGATACAAATGTTGATTGCCTAACGACCTCGAAGCCTACTATCATGAGCCTACATCAGATTATAAGGCCCTTTAATTCAGACCCTAGAACGATGCAATTCAACCTTATAAATGATACTTATGGGATATGATGAACTCGTGACAGCGACATAAACGCTAAAAAACAATTGAACCCTTCTTTGAAGAATTTTGCTTACAACTCTGACCTTATGAAAAATAAAGTATGCAGTCTGCAGAATGCCTCAAACCATGCAATCCACGCAATATAGTGATGTGACCCGACATTGATTATGACCATACAGTTCAGACCCTACATTAATTGTTAACATACAATTCAGGCATTTCATTGATCTGACCATACAATTCAGACTGCATTAAAAGATAAAACTTCTATTCATACCCTACAATGATATTGATCATTAAATTCAGACCCTATATTGATTGTGATTTGTCTACACAATTCAGCCATAACATTGATTCTAACCATACGATTCAGCCCCTACATTAATTCTAACCATACGATTCAGCCCCTACATTAATTCTGACCATACAATTCAGCCCCTACATTGATTCTGACCATACAATTCAGCCCCTACATTAATTCTAACCATACAATTCAGCCCCTACATTAATTCTGACCATACAATTCAGCCCCTACATTAATTCTAACCATACGATTCAGCCCCTACATTAATTCTAACCATACGATCCAGCCCCTACATTAATTCTAACCATACGATTCAGCCCCTACATTAATTCTAACCATACAATTCAGCCCCTACATTAATTCTGACCATACGATTCAGCCCCTTCATTAATTCTGACCACGCTATGCAGCCCTACATTTACTCTGACCACACAATTCAGCCCCTACATCTACTCTGACCTATGCAGCCCTACATTTACTCTGACAATACAATTCAGCCCCTACATTTAAGCTGACCACACAATTCAGCCCCTACATTTACTTTGACCACACAATTCAGCCCCTACATCTTCTCTGACCCCACAATTCAGCCCCTACATCTACTCTGACCTCACAATTCAGCCTCTACATTTACTCTGACCACGCAATTCAGCCCCTACATCTACTCTGACCACACAATTCAGCCCCTACATTAATTCTGACCGTACAATTCAGCCCCTACATTAATTCTGACCATACAATTCAGCCCCTACATTAATTCTGACCATACGATTCAGCCTCTTCATTAATTCTGACCACGCTATGCAGCCCTACATTTACTCTGACAATACAATTCAGCCCCTACATTTAAGCTGACCACACAATTCAGCCCCTACATTTACTCTGACCACACAATTCAGCCCCTACATTACTTTGACCACACAATTCAGCCCCTATATTTACTCTGACCATACAATTCAGCCCCTACATGAACTCTGACCACACAATTCAGCTCCTGCATCTATTCTGACCACACAATTCAGCCCCTACATTTACTCTGACCACACAATTCAGCCCCTACATCTACTCTGACCACACAATTCAGTCCCTTTATTAACTCTGACCACACAATTCAGCCCCTACATCTACTCTGACCACACAATTCAGTCCCTTTATTAACTCTGACCACACAATTCAGCCCCTACATGAACTCTGACCACACAATTCAGTCCCTTTATTTACTCTGACCACACAATTCAGCCCCTACATTTACTCTGACCACACAATTCAGCCCCTACATCTACTCTGACCACACAATTCGGCCCCTACATTTACTCTGACCACACAATCCAGCCCCTGCATTTACTCTGACCACACAATTCAGCCTCTACATTTACTCTGACCACACAATTTCTACTCTGACCACACAATTCAGCCCCTACATTTGCTCTGACCATACAATTCAGCCCCCACATTTACTCTGACCACACAATTCAGCCCCTACATTTCCTCTGACCACACAATTCAGCCCCTACATTTACTCTGACCACAGAATTCAGCCCCTACATTTACTCTGACCACACAATTAAGCCCCTACATCTACTCTGACCACACAATTCAGTCCCTTTATTTACTCTGACCACACAATTCAGCCCCTTCATTTACTCTGACCACACAATTCAGCCCCTACATGACCTCTGACCACACAATTCAGTCCCTTTATTTACTCTGACCACACAATTCAGCCCCTTCATTTACTCTGACCACACAATTCAGCCCCTACATTTCCTCTGACCACACAATTCAGCCCCTACATCTTTTCTGACCACACAATTCGGCCCCTACATTTACTCTGACCACACAATCCAGCCCCTGCATTTACTCTGACCACACAATTCAGCCTCTACATCTACTCTGACCACACAATTCAGCCCCTACATTTGCTCTGACCATACAATTCAGCCCCCACATTTACTCTGACCACACAATTCAGCCTCTACATTTACTCTGACCGCACAATTCAGCCCCTACATTTACTCTGACCACAGAATTCAGCCCCTACATTTACTCTGACCACACAATTAAGCCCCTACATCTACTCTGACCACACAATTCAGCCTCTACATCTACTCTGACCACACAATTCAGCCTCTACATTTACTCTGACGACACAATTCAGCCTCTACATTTACTCTGACCACACAATCCAGCCCCTGCATTTACTCTGACCACACAATTCAGCCTCTACATCTACTCTGACCACACAATTCAGCCTCTACATTTACTCTGACGACACAATTCAGCCTCTACATTTACTCTGACCACACAATCCAGCCCCTGCATTTACTCTGACCACACAATTCAGCCTCTACATCTACTCTGACCACACAATTCAGCCTCTACATTTACTCTGACGACACAATTCAGCCTCTACATTTACTCTGACCACACAATTCAGCCTCTACATTTACTCTGACCACACAATCCAGCCCCTGCATTTACTCTGACCACACAATTCAGCCCCTACATGACCTCTGACCACACAATTCAGTCCCTTTATTTACTCTGACCACACAATTCAGCCCCTACATGACCTCTGACCACACAATTCAGTCCCTTTATTTACTCTGCCCACACAATTCAGCCCCTACATCTACTCTGACCACACAATTCGGCCCCTACATTTACTCTGACCACACAATCCAGCCCCTGCATTTACTCTGACCACACAATTCAGCCTCTACATCTACTCTGACCACACAATTCAGCCTCTACATTTACTCTGACGACACAATTCAGCCTCTACATTTACTCTGACCACACAATTCAGCCCCTACATGAACTCTGACCACACAATTCAGTCCTTTTATTTACTCTGACCATACAATTTAGCCCCTACATTTACTCTGACCACACAATCCAGCCCCTACATCTACTCTGACCACACACTTCGGCCCCTACATCTACTCTGACCACACACTTCGGCCCCTACTTTTACTCTGGCCACACAATCCAGCCCCTACATCTACTCAGACCACACAATTCAGCCCCTGCATTTACTCTGACCACACAATTCATCCCCTACATTTTCTCTGGCCACACAATTCAGCCCCTACATCTACTCTGACAACACAATCCGGCCCCTACATTTACGCTGACCACACAATCCAGCCCCTGCATTTTCTCTGACCACACAATCCAGCCCCTGCATTTACTCTGATCACACTATTCAGCCCCTACATTTAATCTGACCACACAATTCAGCCCATACATCTACTCTGACCACACACTTCGGCCCCTACATCTACTCTGACCACACAATGCAGCCCCTACATCTACTCTGACAACACAATTCAGCCCCTACTTTTACTCTGACCACCCAATCCAGCCCCTACATTTTCTCTGACCGCACAATTCAGCCTCTACATTTCCTCTGACCACACAATTCAGCCCCCGCATTAATTCTGATCACACAATTCAGCCCCTACATATACTCTGACCACACAATTCGGCCCCTACATTTTCTCTGACCGCACAATTCAGCCTCTACATTTACTCGGACCACACAATCCAGCCCTACATTTACTCTCACCTATTTACTCTGACCCCACAATTCAGCCCCTACATCTACACTGACAACACAACTCGGCCCCTACATTTACTCTGCCCACACAATCCAGCCCCTGCATTTACCCTGACCACACAATTCAGCCCCTCCATCTACTCTGACCACACAATGCAGCCCCTACATCTACTCTGACAACACAATTCAGCCCCTACATTAATTCTGACCATACAATTCAGCCCCTACATTTAAGCTGACCACACAATTCAGCCCCTCCATCTACTCTGACCACACAATCCACCCCCTACATCTCCTCTGACCACACAATCCAGCCCCACATTTACTCTCACCACACAATTCAGCCCCACCTTTACTCTTAACACACAATTCAGCCCCTACATCTACACTGACAACACAACTCGGCCCCTACATTTACTCTGACCACACAATCCAGCCCTACATTTACTCTCACCACACAATTCAGCCCCTACATCTACTCTGACAACACAATTCGGCCCCTACTTTTACTCTGACCACACAATCCAGCCCCTACATTTACTCTGACCACCCAATTCAGCCCCTACATCTACTCTGACCACACACTTCAGCCCCTACATCTACTCTGACCACACAATTCAGCCCCTACATCTACTCTGACCACATAATTCAGCCCCCACATTTACTCTGACCATACAATTTAGCCCCTACATTTACTCTGACCACACAATTCAGCCCCTACACCTACTCTGACCACACAATTCAGCCTATACATTTACTCTGACCACACAATTCAACCCCTACATCTACTCTGACCACACAATTCGACCCCCACATTTACTCTGACCACACAATTCAGCACCTACATTTACTTTGACCACACAATCCAGCCCCCACATTTACTCTGACCATACAATTCAGCCCCTACATTTACTCTGCCCACACAATCCCGCCCTACATTTACTCTGACCACACAATCCCTTTATTAACTCTGACCACACAATTCAGCCCCTACATCTACTCTGACCACACAATTCGACCCCTACATTTACTCTGACCACACAATCCAGCCCTACATTTACTCTGACCACACAATTCAGCCCCTACATCTACTCTGACCACACAATTCAGCCCCTACATTTACTCTGACAACACAATTCAGCCCCCACATTTACTCTGACCACACAATTCAGCCCCTACATTTACTCTGACCACACAATTCAGTCCTTACTGTAAATGACATTACACTTCCATACAATTTATAACCTATATTGATTGTTATCATACAATTTATAACCCATATTGATTGTTATCATACAATTTATAACCTATATTGATTGTTTTCATACAATTCATAACCTATATTGATTGTTATCATACAATTCATAACCTATAATGATTGTTATCATACAATTCACAACCTTTATTAAATGATATGACACATCTTTCCAGACCCTTAATTGCATACTGTAACTACAACTCAGACTACATTTAATAATGTGACCATACATTTCAGACTCTGTATTGAAAAATATCACTCTGCAGCTTACACGTACACGGGAGCGTCTAACACGCCTGTTCCGACCATACATATAAAATCTGCCACCGAATTGTCCTTTGCAACGTCCAGACAACACATGCAGACAATAGACCAAAATGCAGTTACTATCTCTGAGTGTTGTTTTGGTGTAGAGAGGGAGGGCGAGGTTTCGTGTTGTTATCGATCGCAGTATCCTATGCGTCACAGTTTCTGTCCAATGTCATAAATATTACAACGGCACTTACATATATTCGATAAACTTTCAAACTCTCTTTCCTAATGGTTTGGACATAACGTTTTATATAATAATAATAGTTACTAGGAATACGTCCTTAATGCGCATGCTCAGTAAAAAGCCTAACTATGTGTGGAGTGATATGGACAGTTCGGTTTTCAGTTTGTATATATTGTGTTCCCCTCTCGGACATTATATTTTCTGAATTACACTATCTTTAGGATGGGATGTATTGCTTTACACCGTCTTATTTTACTGCTATATTGTAGCGAAGTACAGCAATACACTGGTACGCGTAGCTTATCTTTTCCATATCTTTTATCCAATATTTCGATTTGTAATATATTTCTGTCTTGATAGAGAAACTAATGAACGAATTCATACGTTTAGTAACAACTGACAAATTTCAAATCTATACAAATTATTACAAATACCGCATGAAGCTTACAGATTAAGGGTACACCCACTAATTACATAATAACTATGTATTATTTACGAGTACCACACATCAATAAGTAACATTATTGAGCATGTGTATACACATGGTAGTTGTTTAGTATAACACATAATTATATAATTACATACTAATTACTAACATAGCTATATTAGGAAGGTACATAAATATGGAATGTGCTTACTGCAGTTTCTGTAGAATAAATATATCCTGCTACTGAGGTATCTATATATAGTTCACCTATCATCTTACTATAACTACCGTCGCGTTAGGCTTGGCTTTTTTGTTTTCTTGTTAGTATGAAAATAATTGACCAATGCCTTTATATATAGTTTGCAACAAAACAACGAAAACTTGTTATAATATATAGAGTATGTATATTCCGTTACTAAAACAATTATAGTATATAGAGTATATCATTTTTGATTTGTTTCACGTTAATGATATAAATATTATGTTGCTATAGTATATATGGTACTGTATATATATTATGTTAGAATGTGTGTCCTTTTACAATTGATTCAAGGGTGTGTTTTACTCAAATTTTAATTTTAAATTTTAATAGAGATTGTTTCCGAAGTGATATCATTGAAACTCTCCCTATGGTTTTCACCCTTTGTTACTAGCTTCAACAGACAATGTGTAATGTAGCATCGTGTATACTTTGTTAGCATTGTATAAACACACAAACGAAATTATATCAAATAATATATAATGGATAGGTAGTTGAACTATATGATATAATTATATTCTAGTTATACACATACCAATTTGTTGGCATAGTATTCATCAAAGTCCTCGATGGGCTTGCCCATCAGTTCACGAGGGAAGTCATTTTGCATGTAGGTAGGGAGCTTCTTTCCGATTTCCAGTTGGTCATCCGGTTTGAGTTCGTCCTCCTCTCGTTGTGGTTCTTCCTCTTCCCCCTCCTCGGCCGCCTCCCGCTCAGCCTTCCTATTCGCTTTTTCCTCGGCGATTCGCTGCTCGATTGCGAACATGGACTCCCTGGTGAAAAGCTGAAATATGCTGACTTCATTTTCCTCTTCCTCCATCTCGACGTTATAAACGCTAGGTCTATCACCGCGGTAGTGTATAAGTTATACATTTAATGACAATTATCCTGAAAAGACACAAAAGAAAACAGTCTTTAGTTACTATGAACCACTTGTACGATTTTTAAATAAAAGTTTGAAATAAGCCATACATAATGAACGAAAGTGCTCCGAGTGTAAACATGCAGCGGGGCTAGATCGGGATTCGAACCCTTGATTTCAGATTGTTCCCCTATCGCTCCTAATGTATGAGTTACCTTGTCAAATGGAATGTCTTGGTCCAACTGTGCTACAGTTATATCCAGAACGAAATTAAGGGGAGGGTACTGTATATATGGGTTAAAAGTGTAGTGGTATAGGGATCTTTCAAGAAATATAGGTTAGGTGATCCATGATGATCCAAAGGAATTAATTAATGATCAATTTCCAGTTTTTCAATTTCAAAACTGTATTGTGTTATTTAAAATATAACAAATTTAACGTCTGTCATCATTTAATGTAAACCGATGGCAGAGTAAATGATTTATAAAAAAAACATTCACATTTAAAAATACACCGTACCATGGTTTAAATATTAGCTGCAAAATAATCACTTGAAATACGAAATAATGAAACACATAATAAAATAACAAAGTCGATTCTGAAAGCCATACAAAGTTAACATTTACTGCGGCATATGGCAGTTGTTTCTATTTTGTTTCGTAAGTGGTACGCATGTACCATGAGTATATCTAACTGTAAGCCCGTTGGTCAGTTGTTAATTTGTTCTCAACCGCAGAGTATTTCACACCAACACTATAGAACTCCCCAATAGGAATAATTCAGCCATAATGCTCCACTGTTGATGACTTGCTGGTACAAGAAAGTAGGGAAGACGATCAATTAAGTAAGACATGACACGTATGTGAAACGAAACAATTGAAGATGAAGGTCATTGTGTTCCATTTTTCGGTAGTTAAGATGATGTTTTACCGGTTTCAATGCGTATTTTGCAAGATGGTAACGTTTTGTATTCACTGTTTTCAATAAACTTATCATTCAATAAAAAAAACTACCACAATGTCAGCGCACTAAGATGAATATATAAAAACATCAACACACAAAGATAAGTATACAGAAACGACAACACAAAAGGATAAAAATATACCACTACGTAAATATACCAGAACAATATATACCACATGGTCAACACATAAAGATAGATATACATGTACCACAGCGTCAACACACAAGGAGGAATACAGATGTACCACAGCGTCAACACAAGGAGGAATATAGATGTAACACAGCGTCAACACACAAGGAGGAATATAGATGTAACACAGCGTCAACACACAAGGCTGGATATACAGAGTCAACAAGTATTGACACGATATACCACAGCATCAACAACACAAGAACAAAGAGTCAACAAATATGGACACGATTTAACAAGGCGTCAACACACAAGGAGGAATATAGATGTACCACAGCGTCAAAACACAAGGAGGAATATAGATGTAACAGCGTCAACACACAAGGCTGGATATACAGAGTCAACAAGTATTGACACGATATACCACAGCGTCAACAACACAAGAACAAAGAGTCAACAAATATGGACACGATTTAACAAAGCGTCAACACACAAAAACAATATTTACCAAAACATCATAACAGAAGGAGAGGGATAGACGGGTAACTGAGGGGAGAGCACTTTAAAACAAATGAGGAAAGAGACCATCACAGGAACACTATTGACTCTTCGTCTCATCTAAAGTAATGATAATAAGTTTTAAACCGTCAAATTTTGTTTATTTAAAGTAAAAATCAATGAAGAAATAATATTCAGTTGAACATATCTCACACACTACGGTTCACACAGAGCATAAATTTCATTTCCATAATAATGTATAACAAACTATCATTAAGAAGATTCACAAATACCATGCAAAAAATAGTAATAAACCAAGTGTAGACTCAATCTACCGTTAAGTTCTTCAAAATACATACTCTCGTACTCCGGACTATTCGTCCCTCATTGGGAGCCCCTCCCCGTTGCAGCCCCCAAATACCTGATATTCCTTGTTGACACACTATAAACATATTTAAGACAGTAGTTATTCTCTATAGAACATATGTACTCAATACTCGTTAGTTACTCGAATAATGTGACCAGGGACTCTTAATGAAGCACCATCGCCTGTTTTATTCCCATATAACAAATTGAGGAGGAGGAGGAGGAGGAGGAGGAGGAGGAGGACCTTGCGGAAGGATTGAACATTCACTTTAGAGTCACTGAAGTGGTTCATTATCCTAGGTATTCTTAACTACGTATTTGACATTTTTGCTTTAAGTACTTGTGTAATAATTGTATTTTTTTCTGTAGTTGCAATGTAAATCTGTATGTCTGTAACACCAGACTTTTGACACTTTTTGTCATTGCTCATGGTACATTCAACAGTATTGCACAAGCTCTAGCTCCCCTGACTTCGACTACCGAGCGTCTCTCCCAAGGCAATCTAACACGAAAGTCTAATACAACTTACATTTGAAAATTAGTCCCCTGTTTATGTCCAAAGAAACTGTCATTCAATGCAAAGAAGTACTTTTATGTCCACAGTTTTCATTTGATAATACTTTTCATGACAATTAAACTGTATTAAGCTTTATTGGCTGCTGATTATCGTTACATGGGCAATTTAAAGGTAAGAATAATTACAAAAATAAGACTTTCCTGATTTACGTACCGCGTGACGCTATTTATTTGGATACCATTTCAAAAGTCTATTTTATCAAAACTAATGCTAGTTTGGAGAAGAAAATTAATCAGAACCCTCTTTGTCTATAAAATATTTCAACTATGCATATTTTCTGCCGATATTGATCGTTTATAACCAAATGTTCGCCAAAAAACCGGAAGTGTCCCTTTCAAGGTACAGGTTGCCAGTTCAACGGCCTACGTTACTCTGGTGGTATTTCACGTTCTATTTTTAGAACCACATGCCCGAAATCCAGTTAAATTAGATATGGTTTGTGGACGTCTAATATTTTATCCTTTTGTATGTTTTACTTCGGAAATAAAATTCGTTGAAATGAAAACTGAACAACTGGAGCAACTAATTAAAAGCATCAAACTCATTTTTAAAAAAAAGGGGGAACCCAAACCTTTATATTAAGTTTTAAAAGATTAAAAAAATCCAAAAGAAACCATTTTTTTTATACAAAACTATCAAAAATAATTCATACATTACCAAAAGGTTTGAAAAGCTATATAAATAATGTCTTAAAAAGGCATAAATGAAATACCAACAGGAACCCAGACCTTTATTCTAAAAATATACTCATCATTTACCCTTTAAGCAACAAAATGCTATTTTTATCTCGACAAAGAGGTTTCTAAGTGCACGTATGAAGCTGACGACTACATATTTAGAATATTTTCTGTCAATACAGAAAATCCATTTAGACCAATTGCTAATCAAAGACTGATGCCTTCACAACCGGGTTTAAAACCTCTGGAACCAACTCTTTACCATCGATTTTGTGTATAGGGGTTGGTTCCATTGGAAAGAAACGCCATAACATACTTGTGTTCTTTCAGGTTTAGGTGTCATTTGGGAATAATTTGCGTCACAGAGATCCTAGCCAATGGGTGGTCACTATTTAAATGGATCCATGAGCAGTAACTCTATCAATGACCAAACCTAGCACTCTGGATTTCTTTAAAGAGTTTTGATTACTTTGTCGCATTGACTCCGTGATCAGCGTTAGTTTGATGTTTGTTTAGAGTATATCATTCCCGATGCGTATTCACACTATGCGTGTTGGTACGTAGTTAGATCAATGCAAACTGTATTATATGCCGAAGGTCTAGCTGAATGCTGAACGAATTGGGCTGGGCTTCACGTTGAGGGGATGGATGAGTCAGCAAGCAATCAATAAGTCTTCCTAGCTGGTAGCTTTTTCACTTATGTTTTCGTGAACGACTGAATATTATCGAAAATGTAAATCTTGAGCAGAACACGCACGTTGCGACACGAATAGTGCCAAAATACTGTTAGAATTACCGGCTCCGCAGTATCGCATAATTCAGAGGCACCGTAAGGGATTTTTGTAAGCACAACTCATCGTTACTTAAGCGTCTTCTTGCTCTCGTGTTAAGCCAAAATGAACATCAAGTTTGAAGATAATACAGAAACAAGAGTGTCACAGCTAGTGACATTATAGAGGACTTAATAATCTTAGTTTTAAGACATCGCTATCGGACATACGTCATAGATAGAGCAAACTGTAGTGATCAGATACATTCAGTAACAGATACAGTGTGTCAATGACAGATACAGTGTGTCAATGACAGATACAGTGTGTCAATGACAGATACAGTGTGTCAATGACAGATACAGTGTGTCAATGACAGATACAGTGTGGCAATGACAGATACAGTGTGTCAATGACAGATACAGATACAGTGTGTCAATGACAGAGTGTGTCAATGACAGATACAGTGTGTCAATGACAGATACAGTGTGACAATGACAGATACAGTGTGTTAATGACAGATACAGAGTGTCAATGACAGATGCAGTTTGTAAATGACAGATACAGTGTGACAATGACAGATACAGTGTGGGAATGACAGATACAGTGTGGCAATGACAGATACCGTGTGGCAATGACAGATACAGTGTGGCATTGACAGATACAGTGTGGCAATGACAGATACAGATACGTCATAGATAGAGCAAACTGTAGTGATCAGGTACATTCAGTAACAGATACAGTGTGTCAATGACAGATGCAGTGTCAGTGACAGATACAGTGTGTCAATGACAGAGACAGTGTGTCAATGACAGATACAGTGTGTCTATGACAGATGCAGTTTGTAAATGACAGATACAGTGTGACAATGACAGATAAACTGTGGCAATGACAGATACAGTGTGGCATTGACAGATACAGTGTGGCAATGACAGATCCAGTGTGACAATGACAGATACAGTGTGGGAATGACAGATACAGTGTGGCAATGACAGGTACAGTGTGGCAATGACAGATACAGTGGGACAATGACAGATACAGTGTGGCA